TACTTGTTTTTGTAGTTTACAGTTTCCCTCGAAAATGCTTACTTTGTAGTCATTATTGGGTATTTTGCGGTTACCGTGTATGAAAGTTTGACAGATAAAATGAGAGGTTAGTGGATTTTCCTATGTTTCGAGGGGTGAATCGATTAGCTTGGGACCGAAGATAGTAGCAGAGGCTCCTCAAGTAACGCATATTACTCAATGAGCGAGATCACTGGCATTTGTTCTCACATTTCGCTACATTTTTTCCACAATAACATTTGGGTTCTTTCAAACAAAACGCTTGTCAAAACGTGACCCCTCGTGTGTGCGCACTTGCAAACGAATTCACTTCTTTCCATCAGCAGCAGATCGGCTCGAGCCAAAACCGCTTCAGCCATTGAATAATGAGTCTCACATTCATCTTCTCACTCCGCAGGCACCGATTATTATTTTACTTTCAAGTCCTAAAACTCCAGACGCTTGGCGACCCTTTCCGAGTAGCTGGATGCTCAAATTGCTCACATACACAAAAATGACGTCCAATGTGAGATACATATTCATGGGAGACGCTTTGAAGGAATTAGCAACGATTTAGCTGTCCAGTTTGCCGCAGACGTACAACCCGCTCGTTACTGCTCTTGAAGGCCGGCCAGAAGAAGACCTGAAGCTGGAGTACGTGAAAGGTAAGCGTCTAGCCGAGAAGATGCGAGAATGAAGTGCAGGGAAAGTCCAGTGAAATGGCGATGAAAACCACACTGCGAACGGAGAAGTTTTGTACGGGCTTGTTACCACTGCAAGCGAGAAGGGCATTTGCGGTGGAGTTGTGTTGATGGCGGAGAGTTTACAATACCAAGCGAAGTTGGTGGTGGGGACAAGGAATCGGATTCCGGTAGCAGTATCAGTAGTCGAGGAGTGTGCTTTATGACGACGACTGTTAGTGATGTGTCGATTGACAGTCGTTGGATCATCGACACTGGCTGTTCGAAGTACATGACTGGACTGTCTTTGGCGGATGAAAGAACTGTGATGGCCAGAGGAACCGGACATGGAAGGATCGTTGGAGTTGAATTGGAAGGCAAGTTCGTTGATATGCGGAATTGTGCTGTCGGTGAGCTGAGTCACCAGCAATGGCTAAAAAGTGCTGTTTGGAGCAGCCCAGTGGCAGGCGCGTAGGCAACATGTTATACCGTGGCAGCGGGACCAGCACAGCAAAATAAACGATTTGAGCCCGGGACATGCTACTGTCAAACGCTGCTGTTGGTATAAACCTTGTCACTGGCGTGGTTTGGAGTGAAGGTCTGCAAAATTCAGATAGGCGGAAGGTTGTTGCTGTAGGTGACTGTAGGTGTACCCAGCTGGCCGATATGCCGCCATGTTATTGAAACCAATATCTGAAACGTCACAATTCAAGTGTGAACTGCAAAAATGGCGTGACTGGATTGTCTTATTTAAATCAAATGGAATTATTTTCCCTTTTATGCCATATAAATGGTTGACTTCGTGGTAGAAAATCAGAAAATTATGCTCTATGAGTTCTAAGTTTATGTTTCTCAAAATGTAAGCAAAAATATTAAGAATATCGAAATTATCAGTTACGCCTTTTTTGAAAATCTGGCTTAAATCTTCTATTTGTTTACAAATTATGAGCTGTCAGTGGGGCCCACAATTTGCAGGCCCGCAGCGATGTTAGCTCTTGTCAAGGCAAGGCGAACAAGTTAGGGTTGCCATACAGTAAAAAAGAAATGTAATATCGATCAACGTAATTCAAGATGTAATAGCAAAAAGCAGATACATTATTACATCAATAGATGTAATTTTGTTCGCAAAATCGATGTTCATCGTACAACGTAATATTACACAACCGACGGAATGACCTCTGTGCAGCTGTTTGGATGTAATATTCAACAACTTTTTTTCTGTGCACCTAGCTGGGTGTACCAGAGGCAGCCGGTAGCAATGTCAATTATATAAGGTCTACCTCAACCAGCTCAATGGTATTAATGAAATATGGAAATGTTTAGTGGTGTTCGTATTTCATCGCAATGTTTATCTCTACACGAAACAACTGTTTTCTGTGACGAGACGTGTGCTGTCCGCAGTATGGAATGTTGTGCTGCCGTGACGTCGTTCAGCAATGTTTACAACATTTTTGCTTCTAACACCTGTAATTGCTGTTCCAGACCTTATATGATTGACATCTAGCCGGTAGTAGCGTAAAATACGAGGAGTGCTTCGGAACAGGAGAAGTATTGTAAGCAGATGCAGTAGTGGCTTGGGATGCAACCGGTGCAACACATCTAAATCTTAATTCAAGATCGTCAAAATATCTCACACTAGCGAATCAATCTACGAAAAATCTTTTTTTCAGCTCTTGCATCTAAATCTACTGGCACCGCTTTCCACAAGGAAATTTTCAAAATCTTCATCAATTTTCCTTCTATCTAATAAGTGTGCGCGCATCTCCACAACAGCAAAGCAAAAAATTTCCTGAATTTTAGATAGAGTCGCTCCACTCGAGTAGTGGGCTTCGCTATGGAGGAGTGTTGTAAGTAGTGTTGTTGTAGTAAGTAGTGATAGACCCTGGATGCGCGTCGATCACATGAATGTCCATAGCAGCCCCGGGAACGTTGATGACAGCTGACAGTATGAATGTGTATGAGTGCGTGAGAGTGAGAGACTGACGAAGCATAAATTGCTGATGTGTGTACAATTTATGTTTGTTTACTTAGTCCACTGATCGATGTAAATAAAAACATGTAAAAACGCAATCGGTTTCTTGTCAGTTTTTTTTTTCGATATCACGCGACTTCCGGGACGGATATTTTGTCCAGTAGTGGGGTTAGTAGTAAACTGTGTCCACATGCGCTGGGATTTCCAGACGTTCGTTCTCGGGTACGCTAACTGAAACATTTTTATTTATTTTTAAGCGGCATTCGCAAAAGGAAATGCATTTCATGTGTCAAACCAGTTATCAAATGCATTTAAAATGCAGAAAAGTTACCTGATACATTTTGAAATAGCATAATTTTGACAGATCAATGTCTTTTGACTGAAACTTGCTTTATAGTACGTTCAGACTACAGAGTTATAACATGTTATAGCGCTATCTTGATGGTGGTTTCTGTGTTGCAATTAGTTGACAACCGTTATAACATGTTATAACTCTCCAGTCTGTACAGCGTTTTAGTATGCGAACATTTGAGCACTGTACAGAGTGCTACAGAGTTATAACATGTTATAACGGTTGTCAAATAGTTGCAACACAGAAACCACCCTCAAGATAGCGCTATAACATGTTATAACTTTGTAGTCTGAACGTACTATAAGCGTTTGATCTGATTTTTTTCCCAGTATGTTACACACATATTCTCTACACCCAAAAATAAATTAAATAAAAATAGCTTAAAAAGTATGCCAATTCATGCTTCACCTTATTGAGTCTGAGCCATGATTCCTTCGGCTATAGTCATGCATGATTAAATTCGGAATAATCACTTGTGATCAAAATTAATCTTTTCAGTATTAAATGTATGCTTTTAGAATATTAATATATAATCAAACAAGGTTAGAATTCAATCAAAAAAGATTAAAAATCAACGAAAAATTATTATAATATAATCAAAATGATTAAAATTTATTCAAACAAGATAACTTTTAATTTAATCATCCAACTGGGTTTAATATCAGATGATTATTTTTTAGCAAGAGATAATAAATGATTAAACTGAGTTTAATATCAAATTGATTAAATTTTAACCAAAATGAGAATAGTTTAATTTATCAGTGTATTATCACTGGATGTCACATGCGAGTGTGACATGATCTAAGTACGCTACACAACATAACTGATATCGGAGCCCCGTGCTCCGTGTCATGAGACAGCATCAAGTCCCACGGATAGGGATGTAAAAAAAAAAGGTTTTTTTTTTCGATTATCGATTAATTGTTGGGATAATGTTTGGTAATCGATTCATTCGAATAACTGTGGATATATTTTTTGTATAATGACAACATGTAAAAAACAAGTGCTCAACATATAAAAATAATCTAACATTACTTATTATTCTTAAAATATGCATTGAACTACTAGGTGTTTTTTAATTTGATCTTTTCAGAACATTATCACAAATAAAATTTCTGTACCAATGCTTAATTCTACCAATGTCAAAGTACTTTTAGTATCAAGAATAGTTAGGGACATTGTTTCAGTCGTGGTTGAACTAGTAGATCGAACGATCTAAACACGAGAGAACCTAGATCATCTTGTACACGTGGATATGATTTGAAATGGAGATTTGGAGTTCTTTGAATATATTTTATCCAAGGAATTCGATCTTAATTATCTAGTTGTTCATGTAAGCTGAACTCTTGAATACATTGGAGTACTTAGCATACGTTATACGGTGATGAAAATCTAAATAAGGACACTTTAAAAAGCATGGCTCCTCCCAATGTTAAGAGTCGTATAAATTATAAATTATTTCTGTTTAGAAGCCACAATATCATGCTTCAGAATGAACCACAGAAAAAATCAATTGCATCATGTGCGTAGGTGAAACATATTGAAATGTATCTTTTGAAAATAAGAATAAGGACACCATGGAAAATTTGTCATTATTTAGTTTGTCAAACTATACTGTGGCACCACAGAGTAAGTTTAAATATTAATTTAACTTGATTATTGAAAGTTCAACGAAAATACACGAGGAAATGTTTATTTAATTTTAGCGTTTATCGATAAACAAATAAGATACATACATTTAGGCGTTTTCCACGATAATTTCTGAGTATCCTTCCGGAAAACGCCTAAATGATTGTAAGGGTAACTCTATCACGATTTTATTCAGTCAATATTTGGATCCGTCTCAAAAGCATTACATTTGAGGCACTTATTAATCGTCCCAATTATTCGCACCTATTTGATTTTGGATTATTCGATTATATTTTTTGATATTCGATTGTTTGCACTAATCGAATGATTAACCAACATCCCTACCCGCACAGACAAATATGTTACTTACATCTGCTCCTAGCCGACGTCACCGAGAGCGAGGGCGCTGCGACGACACCATAATTTTGGCCGAGATATTTGCCGAAGTTCATCAACGAACGAGCCATTTTCGACAGCTAAATGCAATACAGTCTGCCTAATATCACTTCACGATGAATGCCAATGTAAGGCCACTGCTGGGTTTGGAAGCAAATCCGCGAATTGTTTAGAATAAGAAGTAGAAGCGACTTAGAGCCAGCTGATAACAGAATTGAATGTAACGGGTATGCGCGTCCTAAGTCACCCAAAAGCGAGTGAGCAGCGTGTATGTACGACAAAGTACACCGGCAAACGGAGACTGAATCGTAAGGTTGCAAAGGCTACTCAAAATACTGGCAAGCTGCGAAAAAGCAATAACATTGGTGTTGGTGCTACTAGTCGTATACGTATATGACTATGAAGAGACGTCTCTCTGATGAGAGAACGGAATGAAGCAACAGAGTGTAAACAAGAAAGCCGGTATTCATTGAAAATTTGCACACATCCACCAAAGAGTTATATATACTGTTTGTTTATGAAAAAAATTGCTAACTCATAGATTGTAGTGGGAGGATTTTGCGCTAGAATGGTCGCTGTTGATAGCAAAACGCTCAAAATAAATGCTTAACATTATAATTTTTCTTGTAGCGATTAACTGGTTTTGTATTCAAATTTATGGGTAGGTAATATAGATTGCTCTACACACGTAGTCTGATGAGATGTAAGGAAGGAACAGAAAGGCATGTGGGACGCGACGCAAGATTAATTAAACCCCTTCACTCCAAGCGGGCTGTCTATTCTCGGCGGCTTGAGCAGTGTTCAAGTGTCTGGCGTTTATGCATTGTTCGTAATTATTGTTGCATGCACTTGATCTGCCTTGCCCTTCCTGCGGGAGTGTCTGTTTTTCGCGAGTGTGCCTGCTTCGACTACGATTAATCTGCTCAGTTATCGTGTCACTTAAGTTTATTTTGTATTAGATCATGCGATTACAGGCAGTAATATTCTTGCACCTAAAACGCGTTTATTGACCTTAAGATAGCCACGCCTGTAATTTGGTAACAATTAGGCACCAAATTAGGGGGAAGGGTAGGCATGGTACTTTTGCCCCCTCATAATTTTAAATAGGGACAAAGTATCATCTTGCCCCCTCAATAATGTTGATGCACTGTTTAAATGTTTGCCTTGAAGTTACGGCCGTATTTTTCATCCCACGGTCTTCAAATGACACCACAATTGAAGGTAACTGAAGCCATCAAAAGATCAGAATCCATTTAAAGTAAAATATGGTCTCCATAAAAAAGTTTTTAAATTCAGTACAGGACAAGAAAGTTAAATTAAATTTTTGAACATTTTGTCACACTAGCGCCGGTGGTAAGCATGATTACCTCTCACCCTGCAGGCCTGGGTTCAATCCCAGTCGACGGAAAACAAATCAAGGAAAAAAATTGTCACTCTGTTAACCAGTAGAACCGGGAAATAATCAAGAATGATTTTTTGAACTGGTAGAATTTTGAAATGTTTTGATCTGTCCATGATAAATAATATTTGTTCAAGTCAGAGATCTCGAAAAATGTTCGCAGTTCCAGAATCTGATAATGTTATTCTTTTCTTAAAAAATAAATTCTATGTCTAGGGTATAACTTGATTATAATCATCAAACAATAATTTGGGATTTTTTGGGGTTCGTTTGGGATTTTTGAAACTATCCTCTTATTTATTTTTTGGGTTTCAATATTTAACTTAGACCGAGATCTCTTATTGGTATCAGAATTGTTAAATATGAAATTTTACTTTTATCTTATTTTGAAATCTTACCATTGTTTTTAAATCCAGAATCATTTAAGAGGTTTTAAACAAATCTAGGATATGCAATTTTAGTCTAATATGGAGATTTAAAAAAAATTGTATTGACCATGATATACGAAATCATTTAAATTAAACCCTTGTTCCCAAAATTTTAAAAATGGTTCAAATATAAAATCTTCAATGTTTTTTTCTTCCAAATTCTTGCACATTAAAAAAATTGAAGTCCATAGCCTGGAATGATTTTTCATCCCCGAGATCTCAAAAATTTTCTATTGTCGTGATATCTTGATCTTTAATATGTCCAGGATTGTTGAAAAATAGCTCGTTATATATATATTTTTTTCTGATCATGAAATCCCAGAATCTTGAAAAATATCTATGGCTAGTTATTGGGAGCGAGATTTTGAATTTAATCGAAGACAACATATCAAAAAGACTGGCAAGTCTTCCATTTTCTCAAACGACCGGCATGAGACAGGCGCAATCGCGTCATCTGCCGCTCAAATTGGATAGCAAAGGTTCCATCCTCAGAAGATATTTTTGTGCATTTCAAGACCAACAATTGAAATGGCCTCAACACCATTTTGTAAACCATTTTCTCACAAACCAAAGGTCGCCAACACAAACCAACAAAATGAGCAGGTAGGGGAAATTTTCCTCTATCCGATTGTGTGGTAGGTTTGCGAATGTGGGTTTTGGTTCACGAGAAAATGGCCTTACAAGGTTTGTTTACAAAATGGAGTTGAGGCTTTTTTCAATTATTGGTCTTGCTTTGCTAATTTTTTTATGCGTTGCTTCCACCTTCGCTCGAGCACAGCGCTATTGTGTCTGTCGTCGAATTTAGACGAAGATGCCAGTCTTCTTGATATGTTGTCTTCGATTTAATATTAATAATTTTATATTGCACATTTTTTTTGTCAAATCTAACGGTTTTTATCAAACAGGGAAAACTATCATAGGCAATCCGAAAAAAAAAACGGGAATTCAAATTCTTAAATCCAGTGGCCACCCTGCGCAGGGGTCGGAAATGCCAACAACACGAACTCAATTGAATTGTGTATAAACTATTTATTTAATAAAAAAAAGTGTCTTTAAAGGAATTGATAACATATTTATTGCCCACAAATTGACAATTTCAAAAACTTATCATATCCTACTATGATAAAAAAGGACCTAACATTTTCGTCTGAAGAGATAGAAGGATATTTTTCTCGGAAAAGTTATAAAGCTACTCTAAATATGAAACTTTGTTCGAGCTACCGAATTTCTAAGTCTAATAGTTTTCGAGATATGGACCATTTTCGTTGGGTACCCCTTTAAGTTTACTTTTTAATTTTATTTACTTTTTATATAATAAATTTTCATGCATACAATATTCTAAACAAATGATAACAAAGTAGAACTACATGTTTTATGCTGAAGACAGTTTGTCTGCATTTCTTGCAAAGGTACAGACATTTTTATCTTTATTTTTCCCTATTTTTGACTGCATAAAGGGGCGAATGTAGCAAACCGGGACACACTATCAACTGCTCGTACTAAAAAGTAGGTGAAGGATGTTTTAAAATGAACAATATTCAAGGTGGTATGTCTGTTTGTCTGTAGTTTAATTTTTCAGCTGGTAAAAGGAAAACCTTGCAAGACTAATCATATTTGTTGGACAATCACGTATAACTTACGAAAAGGGCATATTTTCTACAAAAAATTGATTATGATGAAAGTAAATTTGAAATATCTCGAAAACGGTTACATTTAGGAAGTTTATTGATATGAGCACTATCGTTTGAAATGATTTTTACAATCATATACTGACATCAAACTGAACATTTTGCCGTAAATAATGAAAGTTTCAAAAATGCCTTAAAAGTTGCTCTTAGAAAAACTTTTTTATTATCCTGGAGTTGTTTTCAAAACTTCTGCTTTCTATTCAAGTTTTTATTAAAAAATATAAAAAAAAAAAAATCAAAAATACGTTTTTTTTTGTTATTTGAATTTTGAGGTTTATTTTTATTTTTTTTGTAAAAAAACGAAACAAAAAATTCCGTGTATTTTTTTTATAAAGCCTTATTAGTTTCCTACAACTCCTTCTTAGTAATTTTTTTTCTACAACCAACTGTTTTGGAACTACATTTTTTTATGTGTATGTGTGTGCAAAAACACATAGGCCCTTTTCAAAAATTACCTTTGAGTCAAAAGGGTCTCCTCTCCTGCGGAAAAAACTTGGTCTATCATACTGAAAATATGTGCCATGTATCATCCAGATCGAAGATAGTCAAGTTTGGTGACTGACCGATTTGGCGTGGAATTGGTCTGATGTAAGTTAAAATTAGGACCAACCTTATTATAATTTTTATTTAAAGAAGAACCATTTATTTATAAACAACTTCTACGAAGACACTAACTCCCTAAATTGCATAGAAATGGAGTAAATAATATATTCCCGCTAAATTGCCATTTCGGACAACAGTTGAGATTTATTAAACCATTAGACATAATTTTGGAATTGGTGAAAGTGGCGGTGCAAATGCGGCTTTGGGATTATTGTGCATTGGTTGAGAGCACTACAATTAGCTTGTTAAGCCATTAGATATAAATATGGAATTGGTGGCTTTAGTGACTTCTAGTTGACTAATGCCGAATTTCTTTGTGATCCAGTTTCAACCTGCGTATCGACCAAGAAAACGCCTGCTTGTTTTCTGTTGAAACGTCAGTAGGATAACTAGTTTTTGTATGCTAGATCGAGTCGAGTTTCGACGAAATTAGCTCGGAATCGCACTGATACACTGAAGCATACTTTGGTGCAATAAGACCACTGAAAACAAAAAACGTACAGGTTTCGTTATATATGTTATACGAAAATATTTTCATAAAGGGAACTGTCAAAATCGGGTCATTACCGATTTCGAAAATATGTCCTTGATGCAGTCTTCAAGTAAAATTAAATTGAAACTTAGCTCAATTTAGACCTAGTGGAATTAATGTGCTTAATATGACGTAAGCTCAGAATATGTTTTGTTCTGTGGTTCATATTATGTGTGGCTTCTAAGCACCAATTGTTTATAATTTCTAAGGTTCTTCAAATTAGAAGAAGCCGTATATTTTTAATGTGACTGCATATTGATTTCCACTGGGATTTAAAAACTTGTGCTAGGGGAAATGGCTCTAATGTGGGCCTATGGATCTAAGATTGGGCCCATCGCTTAAAATCTATTTATCCATTTTATCTAGATGAACGCAAGGGGGGGCGACTCTATCTACGATGCAAGAAAGATTGTGTTTTGCTGTGGCTATCTGCGCGCACGCTAAGTAGATAGAAAGAAGATTGATGAGGATTTTTGAAGATTTCCTGCAAAAAGATGATGTGCGATGCAAGTAGATGCGAGAAGATGCGAGAAATGAAAGACGATTTTCCAAAGATTGATTCGCTACTGTGCGATTTTTTAAGAATCAAGAATTGAGATTTAGATGTGTTGCCCCCTCGGATGAACGCGTCATTAGGAGGGTACTA